TACATTTTTCCTGGTAATTGCATGTAATGTGTAATGCATTACATTTTTCCAGGTAATTGCATGTAATGTGTAATGCAACAATTTTTGCATTACATGTAATTGTTATTTAATGAATTAATTTCGCAAAACGTTGTCTAATTTCGTGCATTACATTGCATTACATGGCATTACTTTTTTTCACATACTATATATCTTTAACATATTGTTGGAGATTTAACTAAAGCAAAATTTAAGATTTCTTGATTAACTAAGAACATAATCATTTGAATATTGATTTTCTATTTTCTATTTTTTTATCACACTTTAAATAAATTACTAGAGGGAATTTAGAGATAAAGCCTTGCTACAGGTAGAACTTGAAAAAAATTAGTATAAATACTAGAATACTAGAATGACCAAATTACAATTCTAAATGAATAACACAACACTGTATATCAGATTGAGTTCTTTTTTTATTTCATTTTATTTCATACATTTTCCTGCATAAAAAGATTGATATTTCAAAAGCATTACTGTAAAAGTGTTCCATTGTTGTCAAAATATCAATGAATACCTTGTCATGATTAAATAATAGATAATTGAACATTGTCATAAAACACTAATTAGTTTGTTTTACTATCAATCTAAAAATAAACGCTGGAAAAACATTTTAAGTGAGTGCATATTTTGTTTAAACAATTTTTGTCAGGTGTGCTTAAGAGTTGATCTTAGGAAAAGCATCACCTATTTCATAAAACTTCAATATCCGAAAGGCCTATAAAGCTATGTAGCCAAAATGCTAACCATCTCCCTATTAGGCTCTATTAATTCAATTACAGAATAAATATAAAACAAACAAAACAAATCAGTACACAATAAGAATATCTGTTCATCTAGGACACCGTGTCCCACTCGAATGAATGCCAGACGAACTTGTATACTTTTTCTTTATTTTGAGAATAGGACGTCAATGACAGATCTTTTATTGTTTCTGTTAAAATTATTCATAATTTTTATAGTATTGGAACGATTCAGAGCTTGACATATTGTATTGACATCTTTCTGATATAAAAACTGCATGTTGCTTTACAAATTGTTTTTTTTAATTTTTATTGTTCAGTTGCTGTCTCATTAACTTAACATACCCTTTTATTAATATTAAAGTTTAATTTCCGTAATTCTGCTAGAATTCAAATGTTTGCAAAATGAAATATTAAGCAAATCTAAAATATGAAAACTGAAAAGGCATACATGGATGTTGGATGTGTAAGGATTGATAATTTAGTCTTAGATGCATGATTTTTTTTTATTAGTTGTTAGTGGCTTTAAACTAGCTGTCAGTAACTGCGAGTATTCTCAGATCTGTACTTAGTGTCTTTTTGTTGTTTGGATGTACAAGTACCTGGCCACGTCCACTTGTATTTGTAGTATTTGTATTTTCATCCATCTGATGAGTTAAGCCTCTTTCAACTGATTTTTATAGTTCGTTCTTATGTTGTACTTTTACAGCACTGTCCCAGGTTAGGGGAAGGTTGGGATCCCGCTAACATGTTTAACCCAGCCACATTCTTTATGTTTGTGTCTGTCCCAAGTCAGGAGCCTGTAATTCAGTGGTTGTCGTTTGTTTATGTGTTACATATTTGTTTTTCGTTCATTTTTTGTACATAAATTAGGCCGTTAGTTTTCTCGTTTGAATTGTTTTACATTGTCATTTCGGGGCCTTTTATAGCTGACTGTGTGGTATGGGCTTTGCTCATTGTTGAAGGCCGTACGGTGACCTATAGTTGTTAATTTCTGTGTCATTTGGTCTCTTGTGGAGAGTTGTCTCATTGGCAATCATACCACATCTTCTTTTTTATATACACTTTGTTATACATATGATTTATCGATATATTTACTACAAGTAGTTTCTATAAGTTTCCTGTTTCCTGAAGAGTGTTATGCTTTAGCTGGTTTCTTTTTTTAAACAAGTGCATTATCGTTATGTTTTAAAACTTTCATTTTATTAAATCATTTTATTTCTTATAAATCATGTAAATGACAGCTGTTGCTTATCAGGCACGGAAGTAGCGACCTTCAAAATTATGGAATGCTACGTAATCACGGATACCTAATAGCAAACAAATTTCAAGTCAAATTGGACAATTTCGTTCACACTACACCAAATCACCATATGCGCATTTCGAAAATCAGTTCTTTGAATGGTTTGAACTTAACAGGTCTTTCACTCTTAATACAATGATAATCAAAGCAAATATATTTGATGTTTTGTTTTCGTTATCTATTCGCGTTGTGTTTTTTTTTTTATTTTTGGCGAATGTGATGTAGGATACTTTTTAGAAATATTATAAGCATGTTAATTTGTTCTTATTTACAGCTGCTGTTCACATGTGTCATATACCTTTTATGAATGGTATTTGTAACCATAATTGAATGGTACATTTTTCCTGGAATATATAATCTTTTCTAAACACAACCATATTACATCCTTTAGAATACCAAATTAGGAACAATATAATATCGGTTTATTGTTACAATCATCAACAATTTTACCAATAGAATGATTACAACTACAGCTGACAACGACATCGACAGGTAAAATAGCGTTAAGGCTTATCTCAAAAATAGTAATTATTGAGTTTTACTAGTAGTTTATTTGCTTGAAAACAGGTTAACCTGAATGCCTTTTATACTTAACACAACAATATTTTATTGTTTTGGTGTAAAACATATATAAATTCAAATTCAGTTTTATTAATATTGAAGAAAAGGAATGGTCTCAGTATTTTATTTTGTCTTTTTCAGACGATGAGCCTCTAGCATCTTTGATGAAATTGGGAAATAAATAACAAATCTGTATTTAAGTAGTAAGTGGCAAATCAAACGTCTCGTCGATGTTTGATAATTTTGGACTCGGATTTTTCCATAATGTACTCGTTTTTTATTCACCGATTTGAAGTTCAACTTAATCTCTATATTTAGTGAAAATACGTGTGAACCACGAATTCAAATACTAAACGATTTACAAATTTCCTTTAGTATGCCTCATTTACGAAAGTCACGAAATCAAGTATCCACAATAATACAATTTTTCCCGGCATATTGGAAAATTAATACCTACAAAAATAAGTGAATCAACAGTATATCGTGATATAGAAAATGTTCAGTTACTATAAATGAGTTTGATCCCCTTCTGGAATTCGTCTTTGGACTTCAAAAAATATCAATATATCATCTTTAGTTTTGTGTTGGGTTTTTTTTTTTTCTTGACTTACTTATGTTGTTGATTTCTAACTCATCTAAAAAAAAGATTCGTTCCATACAACTATTTCAACCTTTCTATTGTTCTTGGTTTATGATTAAGACTTACGTATAGCCTTAATATTTAGGCATGTTAAAACTAGAGGCTCTAAAGAGCCTGTGTCGCTCAATTTGGTCTATGTGCAAATTCAACAAAAGACACTCTCCAACATTGAAGACAAGAATAGAATTCATAAGAAAAATCTCTGTTTTGTTGATCTTGTATTGCTGATCATTTAGTCTGTTTAGTTTCTCTCTATCTTCTTTAGTTTTTGCTCAAAACAAAAAAGAGGGTAAAAAAAAACCTGATTTAAGGGGCTGGGCAATCACTCCTATAAAGAGTGACAGCCTACTACTTTTATCAGCAAAATGTAAACTGTTAGTAGATCGGACGATTTCCTCTATATTGTCTCAATTGTAGATCTTGTCTACCTGATAATTTTTGCCTATTTAAGTTTCTATCTATCTATTATATTTTTTAACAAATAAGGCAAAAACGCAAAATATTGTAAAAATCATCATCAAAGGGCAATAACTCTCAAAATGAGTAGGATGACGATTTCGACAATTAAACTTATCAGTAGAACTTGTCTTGCTGATCATTTTTGCATTTTAATGTTTCTCTGTATCTATTATAGTTTTCAAGATAAGAGGCAAAAATGAAAACAAATGGTAAAATTTGTCATTTAAGGGCAATAACTCCTATAAGAAGTCGTCTGATAATTTTGACGTAAAAAGACAGTTGGTAGAGCCCAACATTCTGAACATTTTTGCCCTGTCAGATTTTCTCTATTCATAACGGTTTTCAAAATAATAGACAAAATTTGCATTTGACCTCTATTATCTATTTTTAGCCATGTCGGCCATGTTGGTTGGTAGACGGGGTCATCGGACACATATTTTAAACTAAATATCCTAAGGATGATTTCGACCAAGTTTGGTTTAATTTGGTCCAGTAGTTTCAGAGGAGAAGATTTTTGTAAAAGATTACAAAAATTTACGAAACATTGTGAAAAATTGACTTAAAAGGGCAATACTCTTTATGGGGTCAATTGACAATTTTGGTCATGTTTGACTTATTTGTAGATCTTACTTTGTTGAACAATTTTGCTGTTTGCAGTTTATCTCTATCTATTATAATATTCAAGATAATAACCAAAAACTGCAAAATTTCCGTAACATTAATATTTCAGGGGCAGCAACCCAACAACGGGTTGTCTGATGCTTCAGAAAATTTCAGGGCAGATAGATCTTGACATGATGAACATTTGTACTCAATGTCAGATTTGCTCTAAATGCTTTAGTTTCAGAGATATAAGCCAAAAGCTGCATTTTACCCCCATGTTCTATTTTGAGCCATGGCGGCCATCTTGGTTAATGGGCGGGATCATCGGATACATTTTTCTTAAACTAGATACCATAAGGATGATTTAGGCCAAGTTTGGTTTAATTTGGCCCAGTAGTTTCAGAGGAGAAGATTTTTATAAAAGTTAACGGACGACGGACGCCAAGTAATGAGAAAAGCTCACTTGGCCCTTTTGGGCCAGGTGAGCTAAAAATCATATTATAATCCGGTGATTGGCCGTGAACGTGTAAGGCTACATTCAATCGATGAACAAAAAAAAGTGTAGGGGAGTCAAAATTGCAACACTCTTTCTTCTACTAAGGTAGTAAGTAGCATTTCATTTAATGTTACAATGTTTAAAAAAAAAACAATAACATTTTTTTTAAATTTCATTTATCTAAAATTATACCTAACACGTCTTTGGTTATTTTCCTATAGCCGAATCTAAAGCTGCAGTATTGACAAAACAAGTTGAAATGACACACCACATGTAGGACACTAAAAAAAAATTACAATTCTTTAAAAAATAGCATTTTCATATGTATCATCAAATAATTATATTTGGACACCAGTTAAGTTGTCAATCTATTATAGACGAGAACAAGAAAATATATTTTAAACAGAAAATATCAAAATTCAATTGATTGATTGTTGGTTGCTTAACGTCCAGTGGCAAATATTTCATGCATGTTCAGGACGAGAACAAATTAACAATAAATACAATAGGTAGGACTTGTAGTGGAGGCCGTCAGGGATGAAGGTCGGGAAAATTTCGACTGCCACTGGAAAATGAGGGTATATTGGATAGGGACTGAAATTTTGCCTTGAATCAGGCCTCCTACGGGCCCCTCAAAAAGTTGTTCCAAGAGTTCTTAAGGTGCACAGAGCATGGAACTCCCTCTAAACGAGGCATCGAATTTAACGTCCCAATTCTGACCGGACTTGGCTGTGTACTGGATACATCCCGCACAGCCAAACGCAAGGATTTTACTGCCAGTCGGAAGAAGACCTGTAGTGACCATATTTCTATTCCCCAGTTCATAATTCAAATAAGTACTTGTTTTGTACTTTCTAAGAACGTTAACTAACTGTATCAGAGATTATTAAATGATTTTTGCAAAAACAATAACTTACATTTCGTTCATGTATAAAAAATGTTATAAAAGAGATAGAAGTTGTAACATAATTTTCCCATTGTCATTTAAATATAATTTAATTTTGGATGAAACGCGTCTTCTGATTGGCTGACGTTGTTTTGTTTATCAGCTCATAGACATAATTTTGTCATGTGACCGTGACGTCATCAACGTTTTTTCATGGTTTACTCCGGTTTAAAACGGAATTTTGAATTAAATTATAAGAAATGACTGTAATATTTTTTTCTAACATAAAAAATGTGGTGTACACTTTAAAATAACCCGCTACACGGGTTATTCAGTGTGCAACACATTTTTGATGTTATTTCTTCATAGACAGAAAAAATATATTACAGTCATTCCTTAAGTAAAGTAAAACTTACTACTTGATCCAGCATCATCTGCGGCTGAAATAAAATGACTGTTGACAAATTACGGTCAGGCAATATTGACTATAAGAAAAAAATATAAAACAGCAGATTTTGTGTTTGTGTTGGTGGGTACACGTCTCAATAAAGTGTGTCCTTTCTATTAACTTTTGTTTTTAATAAAGTCATGTACTTTTACTACTTGTAGACCTTTTTAGGTTTGTATTCTTATACATTTTATAGCGGCGCATATTTTCTCAGTGGTGAAACCAGATGAATAAAACAGCAGAATGTACAATGTGCTTGGAAGATAAAATGTTTGTATTAAAGCATAAATTGGTTGAATTAAAGGATATTGCCTAAATTAAGTAACAGTTGTAAAATGTTAATACATGGCATACTAACAAAATGTATACGCTTCTTTTTTGACTGAGGAATAAATAATGTTCACAAATATTACCTCTCCGCTGTTTATTGGCAGGAGTGATGTCAGCATATAGTGATGTGTAATCTTTACAAAATGCCGCTACCTTTGGCCCAGCTAACGTTCTAACGTCTTCATACGTCAGTTTTCTAGGTACTAAGCTTAGGATGTGATCATGAACCTCAGTGGTTATACCCTGTGTTATGATGAGCATATATGAAAAGAAAGTTCTATTTCAATAACAATCAATAGGCAACATTCAAACATTGATTTTGTAAAATTTACTAAAGGTTATTGCGTATTACTTTTGGGAATATTGTTAAGACTCATATAGTATTATCTTTTTTACTATGTTTAATATCGGTGTCATAGATAACCACGGATTTGTTCTAACTGTCAAAAGTACAATCGCGTCCTCTTTTCCGCGACTGCGACATCACCGAATGAAACTTTTCACCGGATGTGTACTTGCATGAGCACCACGATGGGTGTCACATGTGGAGCAGGAACTGCTTAACCCTTCAGATAAACTGACTTCACCCAAAGGGTTATAATTGGATCCGTGTTGCTCATTTTTTTGTTTTCTGTGCAGTGTTTTGTGAATTTGTTCGTCTTTTTGTCGTTTTGCTTTGCCATGGCGGTGTTTTTCTTCGATTTATTATTTTTGAATGTCCTCTAGGTACCGTCCGCTTCTTTTTATACTTTTTTATGAATCCAACAAAATATTTTCAAATTAACATTTTGAAAATGTTGAACATAAAAAGCCACCTAGCAATCGTTTAAGATTAATATATAGTTTTTGTTTTATTCGTGCAGCTAATCTGTATATTATTTAACTATTTCCTATAGTTTCAATATTTTGTAAATGTTTTTAACAACCCAAATAAATGAAATAATTAAAAACCAACTCTGGGGTTGCATTACAAATAAACACTTACGACTCTGTATTGCTTGTCTGTCCCCATTGGTACTGGAGATTTCGTTATAACACATGTCTGTTTGTTTATATCTTTAAGTGCGCCATAACCCTGTTAATGACCACCAGAATTGTTAAATATATATGCATTATTGAATTCTGTTTTGGTCAATACAATCAAGGATTTTATTTTTATTCTTTAAAACACTTTAGTATTTACAAATTCAAATTCAAAATGGACACTTCTTTGTTTCAGAAACTTCAGCATCTCTCATAATTATATTTGTTTGGTGAAGCGTTTGCCAACATATTATGATTGGTTAATTAAGTCCTGAACAATGGATATTCGACCAATGCAATTATTTTCAGTTTGGTGTACTATCAATGAAATAATCCATACTCCACTGAATCCTGAAACGACCAAGCTAAAACAAAATGAAAACATCAATTTAAAAATTTCATGCGTTCGGAGCGCTTTACTGGGTTTACCTTCACATGGAACACTCAAAGCTGAATATTTGAAGCGCAAGATATATAAGAACGGAAACAGTTAAGGAGCTATATGACCAAAAAAGACATAAAATAAAGGTAAATCCATTTAATGTCGCATGAGGCAGTTGAATTTATTAAATGTGTCTGCCACTGATCACCATCTGTGTCTGTAAACAGAACGAAAAACGAAATTTGATTAGGTGATATTTTTCATTAAATAACTGTTCCTCTGCATCTCTTTAGCTATACATACCGTATTATAATCGTGGAAATTTACTGTTTGGATGCCATTCTTGTATTTAGAAACATCACCAACGATGGCTAAGACAGTTTTGTCTTTAGAGTCATGTATAACATCCATGGCTACTGTGTGTCCTTGGTGATCAATTTCTACTAGGTGATTGACCTGTGAAAATAAAAGATAAATGACAACTCTTCAATTTCATTTACAAACGCTGCTATTTCTTGAAATATTGTTAGTAAATAACTGAAAATGGTATCATATATGTGTGAATTGTGAAAGACTGTTTCAAAGATTATATATATTGTTTTATACTTAGTTTTGATTGGAAATCGACTAATTTTATTTAAATAACAGACAAGCCCATTACAAAAATCAAATTTGTAATATAAAAAAAACGACTAGGATATTTCGTTCCTAACCATTACACTAATTATGCAACTGAATAAAAAAGTATTCAAAGAAAGAAAAGCATTTAAAATGTTTGCACATAATAGATAACATTGTTTTACGGTATATTGAGTAATTGAATATTTTTATGACTTTTTTCGGCACTCAATATTTTCTAAATAATTTAACTTTTGCTGAAGAAATAATACTAACTTTTTCTAATAAATAAGTAATCGTTTTACATTTGACTAATATTGTGCACTTTAAAAAACATGATTAAAACTCATAAATCATCCCTTTGAAGATACGTATTTTTTAGTCAGGGATGACAGTTTCTAAAATCAAATAAAGGATTATTGTAACTTTCATTTTTCCCCCGATCGGTTGATGAATTCAATTTAATACATAATGGTTAAATATTTTTAGTTCTTAAACACATGAAAACAGTTCTTCGGGAAAATATTTTCTACTGTTCCTTTTAAGAATCATTGCTTCTTACATGTCAAAGACTCTAAATAAAGGCAACAGTAGTATAAGCTTATAAAAGATAATGAGTTTCGATTGATGTTTAAAATACAACAAATTATTTACTCACTTCTGGGACAGCTCCAACACTCACAAGCAACAATGTGGCTAATCCAATTATCATATTCATGTTTTAGACTAAAAAAAAAGATAAAAGCAAATAGATATATTACAGCATAAGCGGCGTCAAAATAATATTTCATTCGGGATTTGTATTAGTGCGTATGTTTTTTGTACCTACCTTTTAAAAGTTCAGTGCTAAATGATTATAATCTATTGAATGTATAATGAATTTATAGGAAAATTACCAAATGCGTCATATTAAAATGAGTAATTGCAACATTGATCACACTTCCAATTTTTCGTCGTGGCAGTATTTATTTCCGACATCAGATGTTACAGTATAATATGAACTCAATACTTGGAACTGTAAATTTTTATCGAAAATTTAAAAATTATTATAAACTTTCTTAAATTCAATTTAAGTTGTATTAACAATTTAATTCAAAATGATATCTGCATCTTTAATGACTGGTTCGAAGATAACGGAGCGACGTTAAATTCATTTGTTCATTTATCATTTTTCAGTTCTTGTGTTTATTCAAACCTTGAATCAGACTAGTTTGATAGAAAAAGAATTCTTTTTTATTAGAACACCTCTTTTTATTAGAACACCTCTCCGCATTAACCTATAAGTTACCTTAGATATTATACCCATTTTGAATATCACGGACTAGCAATGTTCCACTTAGGGAAGAAATTATCTTACTGTTAATTAAAGTAAATTATCTTAGAATTTATATGTAAAAATGATTACGCCTTTTACGGTATGCCTGTACAGTGTACTTGCCAGTTCTCGGGTATGCTTTACCATTAAAACTTTATTGTTTTGCTACTGTCCATCGATCATATAGGGTCATTTATAAAAAGTTCACCAAATATCACCAGTATCAATGAATAGACAAATAAAAATTGTGTAACATTTTCAAAAACCTCAGCAGCACAAAGCTATAAACCCTTTCTGTTGGTCGTTTATCGATTCACAGTCCTGTTACTAATCTTAAAGGCTAAACGCAAACTTTCTGATTTATCTAAATTCAGCTTTTGAAAGTGATCTTTGTACGAAGTTCGATACATAATGCACAGAATCCCCTTATGTTTGAGTGTAGACGCTCAACAATTTTCGAACCGACAAGAGTTTGTTATTCAAAATAATGTGTGAAGTTTGTAGAAATATCCTGCAATTTACTACACCAGTTATCTGTATAGCGGTTATAGTCAATATCAAACAGAACCTTTGTTATTTTGATTGATTTATTTTTAATGCCACTTTCAGCACTATTGAGCTATTTCGTCGTGGTCACGTTTTATTGGTTGAGGAAGCCGGAGTGCCTGAAGGGAACCACCGACGTTCGGTAGGAAAACTGACAATCCTAGTCAATTAAGATTAGAGTCGAATGCACCTACCACGTTCGGGATTCGAACTCACAACCTCATTGTTGACAGGCTAGTAATACAGTAGTTCGACTACTTAAACCACTAGGCCACCGAGGCCCCGAACATTTGTTATACATTACGTACTTCAATATCTTATTATGATAACCCATCTTCGAAACTGATTTAGGATCCATCCAAAATCTCCATGAAGAACGGGAATAGGCGAATACACTAAATAAATAAAGAATTGATTTACTTTGGATATTCTATTGCATGAAATTTTATGTATCATCATACTTAATGCATAATTGAGGACACAAATTACACAAGAATAATAGAGTTTATTTTCGTACATATTATACCGACATCTTTATTTTTATCTTTCGAACTTTCTGCCTAGTGCATTCCAACCGCCTGTCGTCTTATTTTCTACACTGGGTGTAAAATGTCTTTTGTAAAAAAGAAACAACCCTTTGCAATTTTGTTTAGGTCGAAGCGTTTTTCTGGATTTATCTTCATTAGGAAGTTCAAACCTAAACATTTAAAAGCAGAGATGTATGAATACTTAGAAAAGTTAAGAGCAATATAACTGAAAGACACCGAAAAGGAATAACCAAATCCATCTGAAAATAACTTTGCCTGAGGTAATTCAAACCTAAGTTTCTTAATAATTTTTTAATTTTTCAACCGGGAGTTAAGATAAGATTTTTATAAATCATGTCAGTACCGACGCACTGACTACTGGGCTGATGATACCCTCGTCGACAGTCCACCAGCAGTGGTATCAACCCAGTATTAGTGCTAGTAAAAGGAAGTAAAAGTTTTATAGTTTGACAGTTTATGAAATAAACACGTGTTGTTTTGGGTTTTTTTTTATCTGTAGACATCATTTAGTTTTATTTTATATTAAATGTTTTTGTTTGATCAAATCTTTTAACAAATGATCATTGTTTGCAAAATATATATTCCTTCCTTTTTAACCTTAAGAGACAAAATTTTACATTGATATATAGTCAGGCAAGGAATCTTTTTGTATTTAGATTTCCCTTGGAAATGAGTAAAGCGACATGCTCGGAAACTTAATCTATTTTAAGCATATATCATATAAGATCTGACATCGTAGCTCGTTTTATCATCGAGTTAATTCGTTCATTTGACTATTGGAAAGCCCATTTCCGAAATCATACCGAGTCGAATGAAAATGTTTTTAATTATGCTGGTTTGGTGAAAAGTTGAAGTAAATGTTGTTAGAACAACCCAAAGAAATATATGTAAAATATGTGACTGTTTCCGTTATCTTTATTGTTTTTGCAATACCGATCAAATGACTTTCAATTAAACTCTTTGGAGTTTTTCCCTTGCCGTGTACGATACGCTTTTCTAAAGAAAAACTCTTCGAAAACGTTTGGTACCAACAGTATGCGATTTTTAATTCATTTCAACTATCAAACGGAAAAAACAAAACCGTCTGTGCTGCTGATGTTAGCAAGAACTCTCTTTGATGTATTCAAAAGGTATTTGATTTATGTCACATTTATTGGACATACTAAATATCAAACTGTGACACTACTGGTAAAAAATGATCAATGACAGCTGTTCGTGTTTTATTTATAGATTTAAGTGATAACCTCCAAAACAATTTCCTGGAATACAATATCATTTTACCAATGTCATTTAACAATAAAAAGAATTTAATTTCTATAAATGTATTTTTTGACTTTTTGATTCATTGTCTGCATAAACCTGTCCTATCGCAGCAACCTAGAACATTTATCAGCGTAAAGCTAAGACTCAATAAAGTTAAATATACATAGTTTATTTTAGAAAGAGATAAATTATGTTAACAACTAAGCTATCTAACAAAGATATGCGAATGAGAAAGTACCATCAAATATAAACAGAATTAGTACATTAATGAGGTGTTTATGCATATGTCCATATAAAATGTTTCCGCAACTTTCCTTTATGTATTGTATAGATTTTCGGAAGGATTTTTTTTGGATTCCTATTTTTGATTCTTTATCTTATATATGTAAAATTTAGTCACTTTGAAGTCGTCGTCATAAAGAGAACATGCATGATTGATTGTTGCTTGCAGAACGTCCAGTATCAAATATTTCAAGCATATTCAACACAAAAACAAGTAAAAACCTGATATGTAGGTAGGTTATGCAAAAAAAAATATTATCCTGGAAAGGGTCATAAATTTCGCTTGCAATATGTCTCCAAGGAATCATCAGAGAGTTGTTGCAAGATGAGAGCATGACAATCCCCCTACATGAGGCACTGGATTTAAAGTCCCCATTTCGAACAAACGTGGATTGCGTATTTAACATATAAAGAGCCGAAATTCAGTGATGACCAAATTGTTATACAAAAGTCAATCCTTGCAAGCAGTGGCAGATCCAGGAAGCAATTTTTTGGTTTTTTTTTGTTTTTTTATGCTTAAAGTCGTCAAAAAAATCTGCACTACTTTCACCATTTTTAACAATTATGTTGCCTCCCCTTTCATCGGACCCTGGATCCACCCCTAGCAATGACCCATAAGTACAAATCTAGTGTATGATTATTATTAGTGAAAATGTTTTCTTTTTCATCAAATATCTTGGAAGATTTCAGTAAACGAAAGAACTGATTAAAATCGAATTGAGAATATTTAAAATAATTTACTAATTCCCAAAAAAAAAATGATTTCCTAAGTTTAAAAATTCTAGTATTGAGTTTCATATTGTACTGTAACATCTGATGTCGAAAAAACTGCCACGACGAAAAATTGGAATTTTGTCCAATGTTGCAATTACTCACTTTCATATGACGTATATGTTAATGTTCCTATAAATTTAAATACTAGCATTGTTCATTCAAAAGATTATAATCATTTAGCACTGATCATTAAAATGTAAGTACAAAAAATAGGAACGATTTATTTTGACATATATTTTCACAATAATATGACGGGAACACCATAACCCAGAAAAAAAACAATTATTTTAATGCCGTTTATGCTGTTATATAAAGGTTTTTGCAATTATCTTTTAAAGCTCAACACCAGGAACATGATAATTGGATTAGTAACATTGTTGCTTGTTAGTGTGGGAGCTAGCCCAGAAGTGAGTAAAAAGTTTACCGTATTTCTAACATTAATTTGTAACTCATTGTCTTTTTAAGCTTATATGGCGTCTTAAACATATCAGCGGCAATGCCTTAAAATTGAAGAACAGTAGAAAATACTTTCCGAAAGAATTTTTTTCATTTTTAAATGCTTTACATGCATATTTTCAAACATATTTAAACAAAAGCATATGTTAAATTGAATCCATTGACCGATCTGAATAGAAACTAACCATTACATAATCCTCTATCTGATTTTTGTCAAAGCTAGAACCAGTTGGTCAGTTATACAGCGATGTTTTTGTACTGGTATTTAAGAAAAATACTAAGATAACAACTTTATTTAGAAATTATAAATTAGTCAAATGAGTAATAGATCAAACATATATGATTACGTAGGAAATTCACATAATTTTTCTAAATATATCATTACAAAAGCTAAAGAGATATTATTGTTTTCTGCAGTAATTTTATCGTTAGTGTATTTTATATACATTTCATCGTTATTTCTGTTCCATAATAAGGTTTTATTGTATAGAACGAAATAGGCCAGTCTTTATTTTTTATTATAAAAGTTTCTTTCGTAAGGTGCTTATAATTTTTTCAAACTTGAATTACGCCGATTTCCCATCAAAAGTAAGTATACAGTTTTGTGATGTCACTACCTTTGAAACATTAGTTTACAATTTACACATACATAACCTCATGCTCAGTTAATAACTAATAGTATTTCATCAATAAGCCGATT